CGCCATCATTTTTTGAGCGCCTGACAGCAAGGCACCCTTCAGGGCAGGGCTGTTACCTGCATTTTACATATGAGAAATTGAGGCCTAAAGAAGCAAAGTGACCTGTTAAGGTAACTTAGAAAGTCTGTGACAGAGCAGGTAGTTCTCCTAGATCTTGAGTCAAGTAATCTAGCTCCCAGGCCATTCTGCTACCTGTGAACCTTCTTGGCAGGAAGGGGAGTTGCAGACTGTAGTAATTCCTGTAAGTTTTTAAGCACCCTTGTGTGTGAATATGAGTTCTAAAATCTGTTGACGTTAAAACCCATCTTGCTGTTGACATTAGCAGGATTCAGATCTTAGTGAAAATACATGCTTACGGTTCCTAGAAGCTTGTAGCATCAAAATATTCTGATGTTAGCATAGTAACCCATGGAAATTACCACAAATAGAAAGGCTGGAAGAACTTTATTTGAATGTTGATTCTCATGTACTGTATAAAAACATAATCCTGTTTGCCAATCATTGCCAACTCCAGACAAATGTCCCAATTTAATCCCAGTTTTGTAATTTTTACTAGATTGGCTTTTTGGCAGAGTTATTCTAAATCCAGTTAACAGTTTATCTAAGAAACTGGTATATATTGCATCTCAGTGTCTGTTTCCAAGCTGTAACACTTCTTGTCTTCAATGTCTAATCTAGGCTACTCTGACTGACTGAAATCTTCTGTTTGGTTTGGATTCCTGCCCTGCCCCACTCTTTCAGCAGTGGGAATCAAAAGCCAACAGCTCCACTGCGCATGCTTTTCTTCACTTATCACGTCCCATGGAGAGGTATCACTGAAGCAACTTATTTCTTGCACTTGGGCCCTCTTACGTGGCACAAGGCACGAATATCATGCTATCCAAATGTAAACACAAACCCTTGAAGAGGGTTCTGCATATGGCTTTACACGCCATGGTTTTTAATGGTCTAAAAGCTGTTGGACAAACCCTGCATCTCTTCTGCTCCAAAATTTCCTAGCAGGCATTCCCTAGCAAAAGTAAGGAATAATCGTGTGAGGGCTGTGCATAATTTTCTAAACAGCTGTAGCTTTACCCTTTGTCCTAAAAATAAGGCTGTGACCACGCTGCTATCTGAGTCTTACATAAGACACAACCAACCAGCATTGCCGCATGATATTCTTCATAGCAAATGACAGAGATATGTGAGCACAGTTTGTAGTTCTTATAACTAAAAGGTATAAAAGGCCCAGGTACTTAACTCTCCTTTATTATTGCACAGTTAATTCCTTTATTTTTATTACTGTACAGGATTTTGAGGTTTAATTACCTCATTTTTCTATTTTATATTATTTGCATAGCAAAGTTTTGAGGAGATAGTATCACTAATTTCTAAGTTTTGCCTGTAAAGCTGAATTTCCTCTATTTATAGTCCAGTTGGTGAAGTCTGTAAATGTTTTCAAATACCAGGGTAAAAGAATTAGTTTGCATTACACATTTATATTTTTTTTCCATTTGCCAAAATCCCCCCAAATTCTCCGTATGCCCTTTTCTCCCCACATGTCTTTTTGTTTCTACATGATGTATTCTAACTGAGCATTACCAAGATACTTTACTTGTAAAGAAGATAAAAGGCCCAATGGACTAGACTGACAGATTTGGGGAAGTGGAGATAACACTGGCTGTGCTCTCCTTTCATCAAATGGTGCAGTAGCCCAGACACTCACTGAGGTTATGAGATTTGGATGCTTTGTCTCGCAGGATTTCAACCTCAGTCTCCAAGAGGAAGCTCTGAGCTCCATGCTAATAAAACATGGGGGCGGAGATGAGTGGACAGGGAAGTTCTTTGTCCTTCTTGTCCTCTTTCACTTTGCACAAATACTGAAACATCCACTACAGCAAGGACAAGAATCCAGGTGTTTATCCTAGTTCCTAGGTGAGTGATTCTCTTGATCTTGCTCTGTCTCTCTCAGTCTGTTTCTGTTTCTTTTCTCCAACGCAAGGAAAGAATTCTAGCAGCTTCCTCAAACAACCCTAACCATTAAGCTGAAATGTCCTGC